TCACAATTACATCAAGGTTCAGTTTTGTTTCTGATTTTCACACTCCAGTGGGGATCAGCCTGGAATGTCTGAATATGAATTCAGGGGAAGTCAAGCCCTTCACACCGATGTATTTAATTTTTTATTTGTTAAAGAACAAAGCCCTGACTGGATCTGCTTTGTTTTTGGAAAGCATTGATCTCATTTAAAAGCAACTAGGATTTCAAGTGGCCTGTGAACAGCAGGAAATGTGCTAAATATTTTTTGAAGCCTTTGCTTTAGAAGTATTCAGATGACTGAGTTGCAGATATTGGATTTAGAAAAGCAGCACATGCATCACACGGACATTCTGCTTTATACCAGTGGCTTTAAAATAAACAGAAATAAGACAGATGTCGTAAAGAAATTATTTGCATGTTTTATATTTGTGGATTGTATTTTTTTATGTAAAGATTATTTAAATATTGACCTTTTAGTTATTAATGGGTGATTCTCAGCAAGCTTTTTTGTGTTTAAAAGACATCTAATAGACATCCAAACATTGACATCTTGGCTAAAACAAATACAAATTTAGGCTGTTAGTAAAAATAAAATAGACATCTAACAATAATTTCAAAATAGACAGGAATGAAAAGTCAGTCTGTGGGCATGGCAGCTCATTGGTTAGCACTGTTGCCTCAAAGCAAAATGGTCACCGGTTCGAGTCCCAGCTGGGTCATTTGGCATTTCTGTGTGGAGTTTGCTTGTTTTCCATATGTTCATGTGAGTTTCCTCCGGGTGCTCTGGTTTCCCCAACAGACCAAAGACATGCGCTATAGGTAAATTGGATGAAATAATTTGACTGTAGTGTGTGTTAATGAGTGAGTGTATTGGTGTTTCCCTGTACTAGGTTGTGGCTGGAAGGGCATCCGCAAAACATATGCTTAAATAGTTGGCGGTGCATTTAGCTGTGGCGACCCTTGATGAATAAGTTAGTCCCTTATTTGAAAGAAAATGAATAAATGAATGAAAAATCAGTCTAATCTGTCTAGCTGATGACTAGATCATTTGATATCTATTCGATTTTCACAGACAATCATAATTTAGTCTTGTTTTGTTTTAGACCAAGTCTGTGTATAGACATCTATCAGACGTCTTTTAGACGTGAGTAATACTTTAGAGTGATACTTTATTTTAAGGTACAATTCTTGCTATTAACAAACCATTGACTGAGACATTTATCACCATGAACTACTAATTTGCTGCTTATAAATAGTTAATATTAGTAGTTGATATAGTTGGTTAGTTTAGGTATTGGGTAGTATTAGGCATGTAGCATAAAATCATACTTTATAAGTGCTATTAAACAGTATAATAATAAATTAATCATACTAATATCAGGCGTGACAGTGGCACAGTGGGTAGCACAATAAACCTAAGCTAGAAGATCGCTGGTTCGAGCCTTAGCTGGTTCAGTTGGCATTTCTGTGTTGAGTTTGCATGTTCTCCCTATCTTTGCTTGGGTTTCCTCCGGGTGCTCCGGTTTCTCCCACAGTCCAAAGACATGTGCTGTAGGTGAATTGGGTAAGCTAAAATTGTCCATAGTGTATCTGTGTGTGATGGATGTTTCAAAGTGATGGGTTGCAGCTGGAAGGGCATCCGCTGTGTAAAACATATGCTGGATAAGTTGGTGATACGTTCGTCTTAGAAGAGAACTCCAGACTTCCCTCTTCCCAGACACTTCCTCCAGCTCCTCCGAGGGGATCCCTAGGCGTTCCCAGGCCAGCCAAGAGACATAGTCCCTTCAGCGTGTCCTGGGTCTTTCCCAAGGCCTCCTCCCAGTGAGACGTGCCTGGAACACCTCCCTATAGGCATCCTGGAGGCATCCGAAATAGATGCCCGAGCCACCTCAGATGACTTCTCCCGTTGTGGAAGAGCAGCAGCTCTACTCCGAGCTCCTCCCGGGTGACAGAGCTCATTATCCTGTCTATAAGGGTGTGCCCTGCTACCCTGCGAAGGAAACTCATTTCAGCCTCATGTATTTGAGATCTTGTCCTTTTGGTCATGACCCAAAGCTCATGACCATAGGTGAGAGTAGGAACGTAGATTGACCGGTAAATCAAGAGCTTTGCCTTTCAGCTCAGCTCTTTCTTTACCACAACGGACTGATACATTGACCATATTACTGCTGCCGCTGCATGAATCCGCCTGTCAATCTCACGTTCCATCCTTCCCTCACTCGTCAACAAAGCCCCAAGATACTTGAACTCCTCCACTTGGGGTAAGGACTTTCCTCCAACCTGGAGATGGCAAACAACCTTTTTTTAGTGGAGCACCATGACCTCATACTTTTAGGTGGTGATTCTCAAAAAGAAATGCCAACTGGCCCAGCCTGGACTCAAACCAGACAGTGCTAACCACCGTGTCGCCCCTAATGACGAATCTATTCCTATACATTTTTTGTTCCTATTAATCAACCTAATATCAAAATAATTGGTTTATAGCAGCATAACCTGGTGTCTAGACTGCGACTCAATCTGTTTTAATACACATAAATGATCTTCTTTGTAAAGTCGGGCAATTTGACACATGTTAGTATTTTTCTCAGAACACATCTCCTAGTATCTTTTAACAAAGGCTGATTGCTTGGGAAATTCTACAGGAATTTACTACAACAGTTTTTTATGAATGCCTTGAGGTTGAACTTTAACCAATGTCATGCAGAGCAGCACACAAGGGGCTATTTGTCGGTTGTTATTTCATTGTTGTCTGCTTTTGTTTTGTTTTTTCCTCTTATTTTAGCATTGTTTTATATGGGTATTTATTCTGTGGTAATGACAGAATGGTAGACGGGCATAAGAAAAAGCCATGAAATCTGGTAAACAGACACAAAATGAGCAAACTTACCTCTGACATCAAGCTGTGAGGAAGGAATATTAAAACAGACCTTCACTCTCTCTCCCTTGTTTATCCTTATAGTTTGTAGGCCTGTAATATGCTCAACAAATTTGCTGTCTAACATGATTTCTTGTGTGTGCAGCCAGTCTGCATTACAATCAGAAAATTGTCTGTAAGGCAGCTTGTTTCTCTTGTATTGAACTGCTATGAACACAGTGCAGGTGCAGGATGCAGACAACCTCACAAAGTTGTAGATCATTTTCCACATTTTCCAGATGTTGACATTATATGAACATGTATACATCATGTATATCTATCCTAAAACCCATATTATAGGTAGAAATAATAGACATTATTTTTTATTACAGTAAATGAAGGTTGTTTTGACTTCCTCAGCCACTTTAATTACAAAAATATTTAAAAAAATCAAACATTTTATTCATATCACAAGATTCATATCAGAAAATAATTAATTTAAATGGTGCATGGCTGGTATAACCACAAAATAACTTATTGGATTAACTTAATTTTGTTAAAGACCAAATAAAAAAACTATTTACACAATTAAATGCATCAGAGTTGGTCCAATATGATTTTTTAAATAAAAGTTTAAATACATTTGTATATTTATGATATATGATATATGGTAAGTCTGATTCCATCATGTATGTATAATATACAGTATGTCAAGTTTTACCTGAAGTTATCCCAAATAAGCTAAAAGAGCCATTTTAATGATATTTCATGAGTTACATATACAATTGATTGAGACTGACCTCAGATCTAATTTTAGGACAGTTATTGCTCACTGAGCAAAGCAACAACCTGATTTTTGTTAATATGGGGTGCTTCTGCAAGGTGCTAATCTCAAAATTAGATGAAAGGTGAAAATATTCTAAATCTTCAAACTAAGGTGAAGTGTAGATTATAACAATTTTGTCTATAAACTTTAAACACCTAAGATTATTTTTATTATTAAAATTTGTTTCTATTAATTCAATCCCACGCAAAGAACTACAAATCCCCTAACCAGGTAGTTGGACCAATACAATTTCTTCATGTTGTTCCAACACAAAACGCTAAAATCAACTTAATGGTTCACAAATGTAACTGGACTGAACATAAAACAAAGAAATTAGCCAAAGAAATTACTAGAATTATGTAATTTCAGCTCATTTAAAACAGGTAGTTTGAAAACGCAGCAGAAATAATTTTTGAGTGCATAAGAGGACGTTTTCTGCAAATGACCTGCTATTTTAGTTTTTTTTATTATTATTATTAGATAAAATGACTGAAGATCAAATGTTAATTTACATTGTATTATTATTGTTTTACTCTCGGGAAAAAAGAGTATTTACAACCTGCAGGTATGGTTAGGCCTATATTAACATATTGTAAAAAGGTTAGTTTTAGTTTTAAAGTTAGTTTTGCCAAGCTCTTTTTTATTATGTTCATAAAAACAATCCTACCCATTGTTGTAGCCCATTATGGTCCAGTGAAATAGGCGTGTAAAGAAATAAAAGTAGTTTCAGGATTTTTAATTTATTAAAGTATAGTTGAGTAAAGGTCAATTCTGCCATCGTGTGGTTGTGTTCCGCAATTACATAATTTATTAACATTAACTTTTTTAATCATTATTAACTTTCTTAATTTTCATGCTCTCTGAATAATTTATGAATCTTTTTTCTCGTGAATCTGTTTTTGCTCAGTGCTATGCTTATGGATTGGTCTAGAACAAGGGTGTCCAAACTCGTTTCTGAAGGGAAGAGTTTAGCTCGCCTCAACACATCTGCAAGGGTGTTTCTAGAATGCCTAGTAAGAGCTTGATTAGCTAGCCCAGATGTGTAAACTATTTGGAACTAAACTTTGCAGGACCATCCAGGACCGAGTTTGGGCACCCCTGGTCCAGAAGATTCTAGATACGGAGCTACAGTTTCCTGGACAATAATCACAGTTTAAATGTTATTCATCATGACAAAAAAAAATGTGATTGACATGATATATAACGACAAAGTCTCAATATTTTCAACTAGTTTAGCACTGTTTATCATCGTTGACAAATGCTTGGATGAACGTTGATATAACCAGCAGATGGCAGTAATGATAAACTCTTTTCAGTCCTAACCCTACAATCTGCCACTGCCAGTGCAGATCAACATGGCGGCGTGGAAGCTCCTCAACACGGGCATGGGCTTTCTGCACTCGTCCTTGTCATTCAGTAGACAAGTAAGTAATCTTTGAAGATGCACATTTGTAAATTTAGACACGTGGTATTTGTGTTTCAATTATATTGTGGTTTAGAATGCGATATGGTTAGGAGGCATACATGTCTAACCGAATCATTCTGGTGACATTTGTACGTCATGTAATTTGTTTTAATTTAGTTGTCGTTTTGTAAGGGCTACCCATAAATACTTGTATTGAAATGTTATAGTTGTTTACACATTACATGAAACTAAACATGTATATAAACCCTGTTAAATATTGAGAACAGTTTAATGTATTAATTTTATGTCTAACCAATACAAATATGTAAGTCTGTAATAAATTCTGTAATATACTTTTATTATGGTGAACTGTGGTATTGTAGTATGATATACCTAGTTGTAGAAATTTTAATACAGTTGTTTTATCTTGTGTTAGTTGTATTATCACAGCATCTATAGAATTACCACCATGCATTAGTTCACATACTTTCCTGGTAGTGTTTAAAACATAGTGTTTACTATATGTTACTATAGTATTTATACTTACATAGAGTATATGTAAACAAAAAGATGGACAATTTGTAGAGCTGTACAATATTGGAAAAATCTGTCATTGCAATTTTTGTTATTCTGCAATATATATCGCGATACGATTTTCAGCAGATGACTTGAATTTCTCTATTTGGAAAGGATTAGTCATTTTAGATCGGTTGAGATGAGAAGTGCATCTGACTAAAATATAATTAACAACCTACAAGCAAAGATCAATGCAACTAAAAAATACAAGATACAATTGACATAAACAATGTTTTAGCATTTTCAGAGTCTAACAGTCTTCAGGCAACAGGCATACAATGTTTCTGCGAGGTCTTAAAATGTCTTACATTTCAAAAACCAAATTTTAGGCCTTAAAAATTCTCAAATGCCCTGAAATATTGTGTTGTAGGACTTAAATCATTTTAAAATGGTCTTAATATTTTTGTTATGTACAGCTATACCCAATTGTGTCAACATCCATCCAATCCTTAATATACTTCAATAAAAGTTTTAAGAAACGTTTGTTTATTAACTCTATTTACTTCTTAATATGGATTAATTATCTTCCTTTCAGTAACATTTGTTTTTAATGCTTTTTTAAGGTTTTACCTTGACCATTTAAAAAATCTTTAGCTTTTAGCCTTGTGTAAGTCTGAAATTTCATTTATTATGGTCTTAAAATAGTCTTTAAAAGGTCTTAAAAAGTCTTAAATTTGACTTGATGAAACCTGTAGAAACCCTGGGTACAGTAATTGAACAATAAATATAAAAATAATTCAATACAAGTAATCATTATTACGTTATAAACAGTACAGATTCTTAGCCATGAATCCTTTCATAGTCATACAATCACAGGCCTCAAAAACACATGAAAATTATTATATATAGACTCACTCAACATTGACTATTGTGAATAATCACATTGCGATATTGATGCTGAAACAATATATTGTGGAGCTCTAACATATTTACAATTTTTAAAATGTGTATAATTTGTTGTTGTGTGTGTGTGTGTGTTTACAATATTTTGTATAATAGTATACTATTTGTGTAATAATAAAATATTAAAACTGCATATGTAAAGACTGAATTGCTACATTCTAGAAGTATTAACTAATGTAATTTTACTATGGGGATTTGTATACATGTTATTAACTTTTGTTATCTACCTTGTGAAGTTAATTTATGCATGTGAACATTAAATATACCACCTTAAGTATTATGTACAGCAATTATAATCTTTTGACAATTTGTATTTCAAAAATCTGTCTATAAATATAAAATATCTGATGTCCTTCAGGCCTGCAGAAGTCCAGTTGCAGTGATGGAGCAGGTCAGGAGCTACTATGTCGACTGGAGGATGTTGAGGGATGTGAAAAGACGACAGATGGCTTTCGAATATGCAGATACACGACTGCGCATCAATGCCATTAGGAAGAATACTATTTTGCCAAAAGAGCTACAGGTACATTCAGAGTCTTGCAATTTCAGTTCAGTGGAGATTTATGGTTCATCATTATTGTTTTTCATGTACAGCTTTCAAATAACATGAACACGTTTTTATTTTGCAGTAATTGAAACCTATTTATAGAGTCATTATCGTTAACAGAAGAATGAAGTGTATTTAAAATAATAATAATAATAATAATGCTGTCCATGTTTGTTATGTTTTTGCTCTTAGGAAATAGCAGATAAAGAAATCGCTGCTCTTCCTCGAGACAGTTGTCCCGTGCGCATTCGCAACAGGTGTGTGCTGACCTCACGTCCACGTGCAGTGAAACGCAGATGGCGTCTTAGCCGAATAGTTTTTCGTGATTTAGCAGACCACAGCCAGATGTCTGGAGTACAGAGATCAATGTGGTGATCAGCCATGACATTGTGTTTGTTCTACATCATTGTCATTCAGTGTGTGAGCTTTTCAACCTATGAATGAACTTGAGCTTGGTATGCCCTTGAAAGAGGAGATATTCATATTACATGAAAAGACGGAGCAGGAAATTCATCAAGCATCTACTCAAATGATGTGTTATTTCTCTGCTGAATTGATTTGAAATTTATATTGATGATTTTTTTTTGTCTTAGAGATTGATGGCAAATGTAATATGTTATGTTATTGTTGATACAATAAAAAAGGTGTAATGTGTTTTGTTTTGTGAGTTTATTTAAAGTTCAAGAGTATTAGATTCTATTGTTACTGTTTCTGTATTTGTGTAATACAAAAATAATCTTTTACTAATTTGGCATAATAAAATAAAAATACAAAAAGTATATATAAAAAGTTACATTTCAGCTATATAAAGAGTTTTAAATAATTTAATGATTTTTAAAATACAAATTCAATCACTAATTTTTGCACTCACACTTATTTACTTATATTGAGCAAGCGTTCGCTAATACGAAGCTTCAGTTAATCAAAGGGATGTCCGGACATGTTTCAAATGTTTCAAATTCTTAAAAATATGGTTGAAGTTATTAGTTAAAAGTTTAATTAAGGTAAATTCTCATTCATATAAACCCATAACCCAAACAAGTAAACATTTTAATTCAAATAATAATAATAATTAACACAAAATTATTTATTAGTGAGGTTTGAATAAATGTATGTATAATCCAAATGAAAGAAATCTATAAATAAACACAAATATATTAAAATTATTAGCAAATGCTATTAAGAAAATATAAATGAAAGAACTGAGTACAGTATTAAATAGAAATTATGTCGTCTAATAAAAAATAAAATTTATTAAATAATTTTGCGAATACTAAAATGGACCAATTTCTGTATATTTTAGATAATTCGATTTTTATACAAAAAACTTTTTTTAATGAATTAAAGATTTTATTATTCGTAGTGGATGATTTTTGAAGTTGACTTAACGCTGCTCAATAACACCCATTCTTGTTTTAGGTATACAAAATCTAATTATTTAAATTATACAGTAATTGGTCTATTATAGTATTTGCAAAATTATTTACTTAATAAATTTTAAGTTAGATTACATAATTTCTAAATTATTAGAAATTATGTAATCTAACTTAATATAATTTATTAAGTAAATATTTTTTCAAATACTATTATGGACCGATTACTGTATATTTTAGATCATTAGATTTTCTAAAATATAGAAAATTTTGAAAACTTTTTTGATTAACTTTAAATATTGCCTGCTGTGTTATTTTGCCTTCCATATTGCCCACTACGCTACATTGTACATTACGCTAAGAATCTTGTTTTGTGATACAGTAGGTGTGAAACTTGTAACACTGTAATTCATAAAATTACATTATCAAATAGAGTTTGTTACATTTTTATTGATTTTAATACTGTTATTGTAAATATATATTTCGTTGTCCGCTGGTGATTCACTAAAATAAGGACTTTTATTTTGTCAAAATGCGGAAATAGGAATTCTTCTAGAAACAGCGCTTCACGCATATCTGCGGACTCGCAGCGCCGGTTGAATGCAAAGTTCATTTTCATCACTTCAGGAAAACTATTTAAGATAATTAGTATACAGAAGTTTTTCCAAGACAGCAATGGACATCAATGAACTGGTAAACGGTCGCTTCTCAGTGTTTTACTCATTTTAGTAGAGTATTAGCAGTCCTGTAGGGTTTACGTTACTGTTTCACATTAAACCGCATAACGTTAGTGGCATTAAGTAACTTAGCTTATGAATGTGAATGGAACTGATGGTTTACCCTGATGATTTATTGGATGCTCTGTGAATACGCTGTGGATTATAAGATACGAAGAGCAGTTTTTTTATTATTATTTGATTCATCATTTCTCTGTAACGTAACATCAGTTCAATTTCCACTTGTTCAAATGCTGATTCTCCATATCATGAATTAGATTACTAACGTTACTAGTTTCAATTTCATGTTTTTAATATAAGTAATTGCATTTCCGCTAAAATATAAATTCTTCATGGCAACAATGACGTCATCTCTCGCAGATGTCTTATTTTTATTTTAGTTTCAAATATTTAAATAAATAAATAAAAATGTAAAAAGATTTTAGTTTCAACTAATAAAAAAAATGTCATTCCTGATACCAAGAACTGTATTTCCACTAGTTAAATGACATCATTTAGGCTCCTATTCAGATTTATTCTTAAAATTTCCTATGGATTAGTCTCTATTTCAGAAGTCACCACATCGGAATGAACCGTCAACTACTCCAGCGTATGTTTTCCTGTCGTAACCCAGTTATTGGAAGATATCAATACACACACACATACACACACACACACACACACACACACACTAATGCACTACGGACAATTTAGTTTATTCAATTCAACAAAAGTGGATGTCTTTGGACTGGGGGGTACACTGGAGCACTCGGAGGAAACCCACACCAACACAGAAAGAACATGCAAACTCCACACAGAAATGCTTACTGGCCCAGCCGGTACTCGAAATAGCGACATTCTTGCTGTGAGGCGACATTGTTAACCACTGCACTAAGCCACTTCTATTCAGATTCAATTGTTGAAATGAAGAATTGACAAATTGTAATATGAAACAACATTGTTATTGTTACTAGTAGAGTAGTTTTCCTATTGTAAAGAATCGGCATTTAACAAATGAAAAGTAATTGTTGATATTAAGAGCACATAGCATTGGAACGAGCAACCATAAAAGAGTTTGCCGTAGACGACTCTCTCTTGAGCTCGCCTGTGCTGAAATGAAAACTGATGTCAAATTTGTCTTGTTTCTGCAGATCGCAGGTCTCGAGAGTGATCTTAAGGAGATCACGAGTCTGCAGGAGAAGTGTGAACGACAGCGTGTGCGAGACATATTAACACAAGAGCAGAAGAAGATCGAGAAAGAGCTAGCACAGAAACGGCAGCAGAAACAGCAGCAAGAAAAGAAAGAGTCGGGAGACAAAACTGAAACAACAGTCAAAGGATACACAGTCAAAATTAACAATTATGGTATGTATGTTAATAATATATATTGTGATCACAGACATACATAGGTACTTTTGGCTATGCCCGCGGCATTTCAAACCACCAGGGGTTAATTCTTCCGATGTGGATTAATCAGTTAGCTAAAAATAAAAATCTGAAAAAATGTTTAAAAAGAATTTATAAGTGTTTAACTCTCCAGATCAAATTGTTTTTGTACTTTTTTTGTGACTAATATTTACATTTTAGGCAAGATACCAATATAGACCTTTTAGTTACATACTTTGAAATTAGAGAATTTCTGAGAGTGTATCATAATAGACATGGCCAATGTTCTCAGTGAGGTTTTTTTTTATTTTTTGTGAAGGACTGATTGTATAATTTGCAGGAGTCCTGTGCACGCTACAATAACAGCTTATATGGGAGTGATTTAATAAAAGAAAATTAAATGAAATAACCAGTTATTCCACAAGTTTAAGAAACTTGAATACAGTGAAATAGAAGTTCTGCTATAAATATGCATTAACTAATACGCTACAACAACTGTGGAATATTTATGCGAATCATTTAACAAACCTTTAGTTTACTACAAAGCTGGTCCTTTTGGTCACAAAGCTGATTATTGAATAATAATCAGATGATATTATTATTTGCTTTCCTAAAGCCAGCCAATCACTGCATTGATGATCATTAGTTTGAGGAATAATAGATCTGTTCTTCACAACAAACAGGAGCACATACAGTAACCTCAGATAAGTTCATTCAGGTATTTAAAATCTGATTCTCAAACTAGTTTGAAGAACCAAATTAGCCAGAGATTAGTAATCATGATAAAAATATCCAGGATCTGCCAAATCGGCTTAGATTGTTTAGGTGATGTACGGAGAGTGGATTCCGGGGGGCTGCAAAAATTGCAAAAGAAAGTTACAAATTTTTATTAATTAAAAAAAAATCTAAATAAGAACATTTGACTTAAGATAAATAACTAATTTATCCAACTTATAACTAATTAAAATAATAAATAATTCTTATGAATTAAACTAAAAATGAATATTTGATTAAATAAAAAAAATATTTTCTTTTTATTAACAAGAATTAACAAAAATTCTTTTTGTTAGAATCATAATAAAAATGATTAAAATGAGTAAATGGTTGTTTAAAAATATTTTTAATAAAGTTGAAACCGCACAGTAATACACATATTGTTTTGTCTTTTAGGATGGGACCAGTCTGACAAATTTGTCAAAATCTACATCACACTAAAAGGAGTGCATACTATTCCAGCTGAAAATGTGGAGACCAGCTTCACAGAGAGGTGTGCTTTCAGATTCAATATGGCTTAACTTTGGTTTATTTTATAATTGATTTTATTGTGGTAAACATTTTATTTGACTAATTTCTATACATTAAGAAAGATTATTATGACATGTAATATATCAATTAGACATCTTAATACCTCCTGCAAGCTTTGTAAACTTTTGGTCAAGTTCCAAAAGATTTCCACAGCTTACTAGGTTGAAGGGCAAAACATGGCAATGAGTGTAAACACTACTTTTATGTTTTCACAGAGGCTTTAACACTCTAGTCAAAGATTTGGATGGGAAGAACCATCAAATGACAATCAACAACCTTTTATTCCCCATTATTGCAGCAGAGAGTAGTAAAAAGGTTTGTCACTCTTTTATTTATCTATTTTTAAGTGGTTCTGTTTTGTCTGATCGATAGATAAAATAGATGAACACCATTGTGAAATTGGTTTGTTTACAGATAAAAACAGACATGGTACTTATCATGTGCAAGAAGAAATCAGCAAAGAAGTGGGACTGCTTGACACAAGTTGAAAAACAGTCTAAAGAGAAAGAGTAAGTAAAATCCACACACTTTAATTTTTATTTTGTGTTTCTTTTTACATTTGTATACAAAAGCAAGAAAAATTAAAACATAACAAAGAAATGTATATTTAAACATTGATACATTGTTATGTTTGTATAAAATGTTTTTTTCTTTTAAGTAAAAAAAAAATTATTTATATTTGCATATTTTAAAGTGTGTGAGACACTCGGGACAGTAGACAGAATCGTTACTAGACTGGGGTGCGTTTCCCAAACAACGGCGTAACTCGCAGCTGAACTATTATAGTATGATGCATCGTTTAGAAAAGAAAGATGTAGTGACCAGTGTTTCCCAAAACCGTTGTTTCTCTGTCGCAGATCCATCGTTTGAACCACGTTGGTTATAAAGTAAAACGCCCAAAATGATGCTCTAAATGGGGTGGAGTAACTACTTCTTTAGAGAAGAATAGTATAGAATCATAATTTCTTTGTGCAAATTATTTTGTTTTACACGCATACAAAAAATCATGCACACAATTCCCATATTAATTGAAATATTGAAATAATTCACAGTTATCCCCTACAGTTATTCCCTATACATCTAGAGCATTCTAACATTTACACTTTGAATTTTTTTTTTTTTTAAGCATTAAAGTGAATAGTGAATCAAAGTATTTTTACATCTCAGTTTTAGCGATCTTTATGTTTAAAATTGTGCTCCCTTTGTAGTGCACTTTAAAAACATTGATGCCATTTGGAACACAGTCGTGGCTCATGGCGAAAGTTAAAGGTTTAATTTATAGTGGGTTTTTTATTAAGTATCTGTATTGTATATGACATGGGCCTGTTGGTTAGAACATTTCTGCAGAGGTTTGCATTTCAATTTGTAAAAGTAGACTTTTCAAAAAAGAAAAAATATATAAACAATATCCTGCTTAATAATAATTAAAATTATTAATATTATTAAAGTAGGATTTTTTTCATTTCAGACTTTTCAAAAAAGAAAAAATAAACAAACGATATCCTGCTTAATAATAATAATAATTAAAATTATTAATATTATTAAAGTAGGATTTTTTTCATTTCCTAATAAATAATAAATATTAAATTTCATTTCTTAATAAATAGCCTATTTATTTATTTATGTGATTTATATATGAGATGTTAGCTTTCTGTAAGTGATTTTATGTTTTAGAATAGAATATGTAATATTCTCAATAATTTTTATAAAGGATTATAGGCTCTATATGTGCCATTTTAATATATTTCAATTAATATGAAAAAACGTATGCATGATTTTACCAAAATTTAGATTTTTTTTATGCATGTAAAACAATATAATTTGCACAAAGAAATGATTGGATTCTTCTCTAAAGAAATAGTTGTCCACCCCATTTAGAGCATCATTATGGGTGTTTTATGTCATAACCAATGTGATTCAAATGAAGTATCTGCGACAGAGAAACTATGGCTTTTGGGAAACACTGGTCACTCTATCGTTCATTTCCCAAATGATGCATCAAACTATGATAGTTCAGCCACAAGTTATGTTGTTGTTTGGGAAACACAACCCCAATACAGCCAAGAGACTCCAACATGACGGCAGCATCAAATTATGATCAAATTATGAAGCTAAAAGAAAAGTCTGTTTGTAACATCATGGAAGCAGGCATTTATGTAGGTACAACCCAACGAAAAAATTTTTTATGTCATCAGTTTGTCAAGTCAGACACCTTTTGTTTTGCAATAAAATACCTGCACATTTTGCGTACTGCTATTGTTGTTTGCATTTCACTTTTTTGGTCATTATACTTTTTTAAAACATTTAATATATTTACATTCTAGATTCACAGACATTGTTTTTGACACATTATTTAAGATGTGTGACTAAAAAAATAGCTATTAACCTTCTTTTTTGGTAGGGCCAATAAAATTTTGGCAGGGCAAGTAAAAATCTGAACTGCAGGCCCAATCTGGCCAGTAGAATTAATCCTTAGTGTTGAACCCTTATATATTTAAAATAGTATTTTGTGCTTATTTGAATTAAAACTTGAAAGAAAGATTTGTCTGCAGAATACATTATTATCAGGATAACATCAGCATTATACTACATTTGGCTCATATAAAAGATAACTTCATAGTAACTGTTATGTTTCAGTAAACCAAGCATGGGTGAGAACGCTGATCCGAGTGAGGGTCTGATGAGTGTGCTAAAGAAAATCTACACAGATGGTGACGACGAGATGAAACGCACCATCAACAAGGCCTGGGTTGAGTCTCAGGAGAAGAAGGCCAAACCAGATGATTTTGACTTCTAAGCCAGATAAATAACCTGCTTTCACAGTGAAGCGCCCAAATCCAGCTGCTCCACTCTACACATCATTCCACTTCATTGCAATGATTTTACAGAATTTTTTTACTGTTAATTATGGCTGTTAATGAAATGTTTGTGTAAAAAGTGCTTTAAATGGGTCATATCCCCACTGTAATTTTATGTTGTTTCACAGGTATTCATATTCAGTGCGTTGTCATAAACTTATTTTTGCACTTAGGAAAACAAAATAAAAGCTCTGTAAATGTATTATCTTGTCTTGTGTTTTTTTAAAGATGCATAAATTGACATATATAAGACAATCATGCGTAAAAACAAGTAAATGATGGGCCATTTTAGTGCGTCCAACTCCAATATCTGATTTCCCGCTACTTTTTTCAGATACTAGTGTATTTTCCATTTTGATTTTTGTCAGCTGCTAGTGCTTATTTTTTATTTATTAGTATTGTTTAGATCAGTGGTTCTCAAACTGTGGTACGTGTACCACTAGTGGTACGCGGAGAAATGAAATGTCATGTACATGCTACACACATTTCAAAATGTATCAAAAATTATGTATATAATATGTAATATATGACATATAGCCTATATTTCAGAGGTAATCTGCCACGTTTTTTAACTGTGCAGAGATGTAGCTGCTTAACTGGGCCAACTACGCTACTGTATTTCAATGCTGCTCATTTTACTGGTGGTACTTGAAGAGACAATTTTTTTCTGAGGTGGTACTTGATGAATAAAGTTTGAGAACCACTGGTTTAGATACTATTTCCCATTAATGGGTTACAGCTGGAAAGGCATCCGCTGCATAAAACTTGCTGGATAACTTGCCGGTTCATCCCAACTGTGTGACCCTAAATTAATAAAAGGACTAAGCCGAAAAGAAAATGAATGAATGAGTGTTTAGATACTACTATCTTTGGAAACCTGATAGTGCTTGTTAAAGTAGTCACTAAGGTTAATTAAACCTGTTTAGACCCAAATACAATTTCTCATTTCTTACTCAGTACCTTTTAAATGCCTGTTTCTCCTCTATTTTGTAATATCTGGTTGAGTATAGGGCATCACAGTGTTTTCCAGTGTTGGGTTGCGCTGTGTAACACATATTCTGGGTAAGTTGGGGGTTCATTCTGCTGTGGTGACCCCAGATTAAAAAAAGGACTAAGCCGAAAAGAAAATGAATGGTTGAGAATAAGCTAACAATATAAGAGAAATTGTACAGGAAATCGAAAGAGATTGAATAAGATTCTGAGAAGGCAGGAGAATAAAAGGTGCAGGATAATAAAGGCAGGTGTAAATCAACAAATTGGAAGATGTGCTTTTGTCAGTAATATAAACACTGTCATTTTGAAAACATAAATCAGTACTAGTGTGAATAAGTTGTATTATATTCTTGTAACTGCTAAGAACATTTCAATGTGGTCATGTCATTGGCCCATGAACATTTCCTGCTTATTATCAAACTATTTCATAACAGCAACAAGAAGCAATTCAATCATAACTTAATGTTAAAACTCCAATCATAACATTACTTATCAATATGTGGCTCTTTTTGGATTCTCAGAAGCTGTAGAAGTTAAAAATGTAAAACAGGAAATGATTTGGAACTATTGTTTTTGTTTACATCCCTCAAAATGGTCTAAAATGAATACCTGTATATAATTAGTTCTAGTTTACAATTAAACTACTATATATAATTAAAAGGTACTAATATCAGATTAGTAGTAGTTATTTAATAAGTACTAGTATCTAATAAATAATTATTTTTTCCACTTCTGCAACTATAGTATTCCAAGTAATATTTCATCCTCAATTCTTATATACATTTTCACACTATGAATGACACTATATAGATGCTTTTTATATTTTAGGGTTAAAAATATATTTTGTTTCAGTGACTAAAATAAAAAGAAACAGAACATGATGTGCTTTTATAAGTTTCTCCTTGTTTGTTTATCATACACAAGGGGGCGCATGAATCCACAAGTTTCTCAGTTCCGTTCAGTACAGATGCATGTTTGTAGTGACGTAATTTGGCTTCGTCCTCATGATGTAAATACAGTATGTGTAGATGTAATTCGTGTTTATTTTTGTAAATATGTCTAATTTCATTTCTGAACGTTACATTAGGCTACGTGAGCAAATGTTATAAATATACAAATTTTATTATTAATATATATTGTCTATTTAATGAAACATTGAATTATGTGAAGATTTTGTCATGAAAAACAAATTATCACGTGGGAAAAACAAAACAAAAAAGTAACATCCATATCAGAAAGTTAAAACCGAAGAATACAGAAGCACTGTTTGTGTCACCCGGAGGTCCATAATCGCGTCAGCCGTGATAGGATGATGTGCTCTCGGCTTTTCATTCACTTTTCTTCTGCACTTTCATATGCGTCTCTCTGATCTTTGATTGAATCTCCAGTAGCCAATGACGTTGATTTATTCTAGACTTCCCCTTTCTGGCGCCCCACCTCTGCCCGTGACGTCATGGACAGTTTATATACTGCTGGGCTCCGGTACCCGGGCATGTTTGACTCGCACAGGACTAGAGAACTTCGCCAGACTTCAGGACTTCGCACAGAGGAGTTTATTTTCTAAGGAGAAGGATCTTTCTTAATGAATGGATCCTTCTTGTTTCACCACAGCTCAGCGTCTTTCGTGTAAAATAATGAATCCGGATATGTTCAAAGCGTCTCCAGCGGCTCCACCGCCCGCCAAGCCGAGCCGGAGTAAATCGGAGCACGTTAAGCCGGAGCTCGCGCAGGTGGTGGTGGACGCGAAGACCGGGAGGTCGTACTGTAAAGGAAAGCTCTTGGGAAAGGTACGGTGTTTTCTATTAACGGGATTTATTGGAGAGTTTTGATCACTGTATGTGTTGTCGCGTTGCTCAAACGTGTCTCGTGTTCGTCTCGTGTTTGGTGAGGTGTTCATCATGGGTGCACCAGAACCACTGGACCGCAGTCCGCCCTGTCCGGGTTTTTATACAATCTACCTGATGGTCATTGCAGCAATGCATGCAGCATTTCTTTCAAACGCCAAGACATCGCAATTGATTTGTGTTTGGGATTGAGAACTGGCTTTGTAATTTGATTTGATGTCTTGAAAGGATGAATGAATGAATGAATCAATGCATCAATGAAATGATGCTGTAATGCTTTATGATCACTGGAGCCAGTGACTATCGTCTCAGTTTCATTGGGTTGTTTTCAAAACAAGGCTCTTATATGAATTAAGCGATCGATTATTGGAAGTCTTGTCGATCCTGGGCTTTAAAGTGCCGCATCATTGTGCGATGCTGTAAGGAGGGCTTGGTCGACTGGGAAAAGAATACGTCATTCCTTTGTACATGTTTTAGGTCCAGGTTCTGAAATTAATCAAACTTTGATGCAAAAATGCCTCCCATGTTTGGTTTCTGGAGATAAAGAATTTGGTTAAAGATGCATGTTAAATGGGTTGAAAGTGCAGAGTTCTAATGCATCACATGTGAAGGATAATTTGTCAGCTATAGAATTGCTTAACTGGAATTGATTTATTAACGTTTTTAATATCTTATTTTATATTTGTGTATGTTATCACATACAATTCTACAGTCATCGGAGTACATGTCTCACAGAGGGAGCCACAAGGGACTGCCTAAGAGAATGAATAGAAAATGTTCTACTAAAAATCTTAAGGATTTTATGCATTTTAGAATGAATGATGAATACCAAAATTTGAAGTTCAACACATTGAATAGAAGAAATATATTTATAAGTTTAAATGACTATATAGGATGTAACTGAATTATTCCAATATCAATGAAACGAGTGACAAATCTATAGACTCCCAAACTTGCTGCCTAGACCACATTCTTTAGTCATGCTGAAAACATGAACAAAATGTTCAACAACACCCAAAATCTCTAAAGATGTTGCTTCTGCAGGCAGGAAACTGTTCTTTCAGTTTGTCATTGAGTTTGCACAGTCACCTGCTGCTGATCGTTGAAGTTAATCATCATCTTGCATTGAAATCCCCTGCAATGTTTCCTGTTGACGCATTCTGAGTGATTTATATATTGTGCCTTTTGATGTTTAGGGTGGTTTTGCACGGTGCTATGAGATGACTGATCTTGCAAACAACAAGATGTATGCGGTGAAGGTTATTCCTCAAAGCAGAGTCTCAAAGCCACACCAGAGGGAGAAGGTAAATTAACAACCTAGCACAAAGTAGAATCCTCATATTTCCAGCCCCCTCTCTAATGCTTATTCATCATTTTCATTGTAGATCATTAATGAAATCGAGCTCCACAAAAGCCTCCAACACAAGCATGTAGTGAAGTTCTCTCATCATTTTGAGGACCAAGACAATATTTACATCTTCCTTGAGCTCTGCAGCAGAAAGGTGAGTTGTTTCAACCAAGAACAGGTTTCATTTGGGGACTGAAGCTACATGATCTAATCTTACTCTTCGATGTTTGCAGTCTCTGGCACACATTTGGAAAGCAAGACACACGTTGACCGATCCAGAAGTACGTTACTACCTCAGACAGATCATTTCTTCACTCAAATACCTCCACAACAAAGGCATCCTCCACAGAGACCTCAAACTAGGTAGCGTTTTTGATTCCTCTGTCTGCTGTTTACTTCCTAGTGTGATGGTCGTCAAATGTACTGGGTTTAAATATGCTGCTTTTGTTTTTGCAGGAAATTTTTTTGTGAATGAAAACATGGAGTTGAGATTGGGTGATTTTGGCCTGGCAGCAAAGCTGGAGACAGTCGAGCAGAGGAAGAAGTGAGTTTGCTTGCCTTCAGTGTTCATAAATTCAATAGTAACTTATTAAAGCGGTGTGTTGATTGAAATCTGTTTGTGTGTTTGCAGGACCATCTGTGGGACGCCAAACTACCTTGCGCCAGAGGTCTTAAACAGACAAGGCCATGGGACAGAGTCAGATGTTTGGTCGCTGGGTTGTGTAATGTAAGTCTTATCAACACTACAGTAGGGTTATTAGGGTTATTGTTTTGTAAACTGTGGTTCACGAATGCATTGATGAAGTTAATAATTTAATGAGAAAAAAAGTAAAGATGGAATGTTTAATGCATAAAAGAATTACTAAATAAATTAAAACTTTTTTTTACCTTTTTAAAGGGTGTCTAGTAACATTCAGTTACTATTGTAGCCTTGATAAATGTATTTATGATGTGTATATATATTGCATGTTTAATTTAATTTGTACTTTTTATTATATATAAGTGTATTAAATTGTT